CCTCGGTCCCTGCCGCTCCTCCCTACCGCGCTCCTAAGGAAGCTGCCAAGCACGCGCGTTCATGTGCTTCCCTGTTTTATCCAGGTTGTCCCATTGACGCCGCTCTGAGAGGGGGCTGTGATCTCTACCGATGGCTGAGTTGCACTTCTGGGGCCCCGCTCAGTTTTAACTGGAATCATAGGATGGTTTGGGTTGGAAGGGACCTCAAAGATCATCTAGTTCCAACCCCCCTGCCATGGGCAGGGACACCCTCCACTACACCAGGTTGCCCAAAGCCTCATCCAGCCTGGCCTTGAACACTGCCAGGGATGGGGCATCTACAACTTCTCTGGGCAACCTGTTCCAGTGCCTCACCACCCTCAGAGTGAAAAATTTCTTCCTTATATCCAATCTAAATCTCCCCTCTTTCAGTTTAAAGCCATTGCCCCTTGTCTTATCACTACATGTCCTTGTAAAAAGTCCCTCTCCAGCTTTTCTGTAGGCCCCCTTTAAGTACTGGAAGGCTGTATTCTAACTGGGGACCCACACCTCCAAGTTAGGCAATCAAGGTGAGCTGACCAACTATACTCCCCTGGTACTTAACAGATTGACACCTTCATGAGGTAATTCTCAAGATCTTGAGGACCTATTTTAGGAGGAGACGAGTTGCTCTGGAGATTTCCGTCCTTCTTCTTGGGCTGCACAGGGAGCCAAGGGCTTGCTGGCAGCTCCAGCACAAGAGAAGCCATCAAACAGGCTGACGGGGCTGCGGTGGGGCAGTTTGAGCCGTGCAGTGCAGGGGACAGTGCTGGCCAGGAGCTGGGAGTGTGGAGGAAGAGGAGGGACAACAGCTGCTTCACCTAATGCTGTAGCTACCGTACACCTGCAGACTACACGCTTGGTGCTTGGATGGCTGCCAGCTGATGGCTGCCTTCTGTGATGGTGGGACTTTCACCCTGGGAGCAAAGGTGGACGTAACTTTTCATGCAAAAAGATGGTTTTGGAAAACTGCAGGTTTGGAGTTTTTCCTCCAAGGAAGATGCAAGCTCAGTGAAGAGAAGATATTTTTTTCCTGTGGAAAAGCTTTCCGAATTATTCAGTGTGACAGTTCTTTACTTCTCACTGTCATTTTTTTTTCCAGTGCTATAACAGAGTGAAGCAATATCTGAGGCTCTGAACTTGACTTTGAATTCTATTTATAAATGTTGATTCGAAAAATGGTTTGTATCAGCTAGTAGCTTCATGATTATTTTTTTTTTTTGCCTGAAATATTGCAAACAGAAATGTATTTTTATTCCAAATATCTCCCAGGTTATATGCCAGTTTTCATTCCTTTCAGCTAGTGCTCAGGCACAGATGCTTTTACTAGTATTTTTCTGCTGTCTGTGTGATACTCTCATCCCAAAAGTATCCTTTGGCAGAACTTTATTACTGGATTTGGTAATCAGCTCTGTTAGACCCCTGTCTGTAATACACTTGCCTTCTTCCTTCAGCACCAGTGGCACCCGAGATTACCTCCATAGAATATTACAACCACCTTCTGTACGTCACCTGGACCTATGGAGGAGATGGTACTGACCTTTCTCATTCCAGGATGCTGCATTGGATGGTCATTGCAGAAGGAAAGAAAAAAATCAAGAAGAGTGTAAGTATGAAAAGGGAAAGTGTTGCTCATTTCTCTGTATTATTTTTTTTTTCTGAGTTGATATCTTTATATTACAAAATTTAAAGAAGTTGATTAAGATTGGTAGAAGCCTGATCAGTTAAAGTCACTTCACAGTGTTAGCTCGCGCTTCCAAAAACTTAGGATCTCAAAACAGCCAGTGGACAGAATGGTTCTATGGTGATCCAGTGCAAGAGTTGATAATTTAGGTAAGAATTTAAAAAAGCTTATAAAATTCTGAGCTGAAGACAGTATTTTTTACTGAATAACTTAATAACTAAATTACTATAAAAATACTAAAGAATATTTTGTAGCGAATAGATAAGGTCTTTTCAATTTTTATTTATTAATAACCAGACTGCACTACTGGCAGAGTTTTTTTAGTTCATTCAGGCCAGGTACTATCATTTCCCATTTTCTGACTTTGTCAAACAGACGTCCTTATAAATTATGTGGTTTTCATTTTCTGTTTGAATACAAGTTCCACTAACTGATGGGATGAGGATTTCACCACGAATGTGGGTGCTTCTTAGAAAACTTGCCAGATGTTAAGATGGGTTCTTGGCACATTCTCTTGAACTCTTTGAGCATATTTAAAAATCACTTGGAATAAGAAATCTGGGGTTTCTGATTATGAATTATAGTCATGCTGCTGCAGGGTACTGAGATGCATGTTCAACCTGAAGCAAAAAGCAGCTCCTGGACATAAAGTGAGAAGTGTTTGGAGCAGCGATGGAGCACTGCAGGGCAGGAATGTATAGAGCCAGCAGTGTAGCTTCATACAGCCTGCAGCCTGGGACTGTCTTCTGCACTGCCATCGATCTTTTAATCATTGACAGGGAGAAAGTGTCTGGTCTTTTTCAAGGGAAAGGTTTCCCTTCTACAACTGAAGGCTCAGCAGATGCTGAATTGGAAGTGGATTTTCAGCGTAAGCGCAAATTCATCAGCAATTTTAATTTGGATTTTTACAGAGCACCCAGCTGTCATTGGATTCCTCGTGGCTGTGAGCATGCACCCGCTTGGAGCTTGTTGCCGCATCAATCTAATTACATGATTAGTAGAACTGTTCAAAAACATGACATTGTGAACAGCAGGAACTTCCAATATTTGGATCTTTGTTTCAAACAAGGAAGAAAACTCCACGTTTTAGATTTTTTTCCCTTCAAATAAAATATTCCAGCAATTGAGTTCTAAAAAAATTGTGCTGTGATATCCCCCTCCTCTCTTCCTTCCGAAAGTAGTGTTCTCTGCAAAGTTATTATTCTTCCAGGAAAAGCCTGATTTCTGTGCCATTCAACTTCATTGAACATGAAAATCTTAGATTAAATAGATATAGAATGAACATTGAATACGAAATTAAATTAAAAATAATACTGAATATGTAATTTTAGATTAAACAAAAGATTAAAAATAGAGGGTATCTACAGTAAAGTATATCTGCAAATAAAACCTCAAAGCTTTAGGAATGTCTTTAGAAATGTTTGTCTTTATATTATTTTCAGGACAAGGGAAGCCAGAAAGTATTCTTTAGGAAATTCCTGCAACAACTTATTCATAGCTAACTGTTATGGTTCTGGTCATTTTTGTAAATATGGGTACACTCTTGCAGGCATCAGTGTCTACCTGTCCTCCTAAGCTCAGTCACTTTCAGAAATGGTTTCCTTTAAAAATCATACTATCTTGTAATTCTTTATCTGATCTTTAACATTGTTAAGATTGTTGTTATGGTTGCTTTTCTTGTGGGATTCTTAATACAAATAGTTAACACTATAAGGCAATGATGACTTTTTCTTCTTGCTATTTGTGTACTTCCCAAGACTCTGTAGAAGTTGGTCAATTTTTTAGAGAAGTGATGAAAATAACGTGAATAGTCCTCTTAGTCTTTATTCAGAACTGTCTGTGTCTCTTGGAATTGAAAGCTTCAGCCTGAAAATTAAGTGGCTATGAAAACCAGCATGAGATTCCTGAATGTGCCCTTTGTAGATAGTCTGCAAGTGCTCTGAAAACAGTCTGATGCAATATCTGAGTTCTACATCCTTCTCCATGACCCTGGAGAAATGGGGAGCTCACTCATCCCTGAAATAACAGGAGGAAGTTATTCACAATCTTTTGAAGCTCAGCTCAGTTTTGGATCATGTCTGGTTTCAAACTTGCAGATGACAGAAGTCAGGCCCTGAGATCTGTTGCCGAGTCAACAGGTCTCCAGGTAGGTGTTAGACTTGCCCAGCCGGATTTAATTTGCAGGTTCTTAGGATACAGAAAGGCTTGCCTATATGTGTCTTGTGTACTTTTCTTAGAGATAGCTGACCTGATTTAAATTCCTCAGATCCATGGCTTGTTTAGCATTTTGCACAACTTGAAAAATCTAGATGCAGGAGCGCTCTCATGGCGTGAGGGAGATTTGTCTTTCTTCCTTAAATTTTCACTGGTCATATAGGAAATACAGCCTAAGACTGTCTTCTTTTTGCATTGTGATACTCTGCCAAGTGTTATGGTATGCACAGAACTCTCTTTGTCGTATATTAAGTGACCAGATTAATTTCACAAGAAGAATGTATGGTTTGTTTCATGTTTAGCAGTTGATGTCTATGGTCCTTGTAGGTGACACGCAATGTGATGACTGCAGTGTTGAGCTTGCCTCCAGGGGACATTTACAACCTTTCGGTGACTGCTTGTACTGAAAGAGGCAGCAATACTTCCCTGCCCCAGCTTGTGAAATTGGGTAAGAAATGCTTGTAAATTTTAAACTCGCTCCTCCTCTCATGCGACTGTAAAAGTAACTCTGTCAGCAGATTCAGCATCTTCCTTATTTCGGAGTCGTGTACCTGTGACTGCATTTCTTTTGCAAAGCTGTAATTGTCACCTCACCTTGCTGGGAAGATTGTCTTATTCCTGTATGTGAAGCTACCCTCCTAAAATAGTGTTACTCAAGAGGAGCAAGAGTGGCAGAATGTGACTGTAAGTGGAAGTAGAAGGATGGGAAACGCTTAATGCCTTGCTGGGAGGACAACTCTGCTTCATAGTTACTTTCATAAAGTCTTGAGCACAGGCAGGTTTTGGGAACGGTGACTCAGGCTTCACAGATGAACTTTTCGATATAAAGTAGAACCTTCCTCGTCTCTGACAAGCCCATTTCTGGGTCTGCACTCTGCCACCTGGATGTCTCCGTAGTCTTCCAACACCAAAAATGTACCCTGAAATACAAATGAATGACAGTACTCTTTACCAAACCAGTCAGATTCATGGCCGTGGATCCCAGCACCATTCTAAAAGAAATATGTGTAACCTACTCAAAGAAACAAAAAAAAGACTTGAGAAGCTTAATCTTTAAGACTAAAATATATCTTGCTGCCCAACATCTTCCTTTACCTGTGAGGAAGACTGGACACGACACTGTTGTACCTGGAGGGATTTTAGTTCACTTTTGCACACGCATAGAATTGTTGAGCCCTAGGTGCCTAAAACTGTGACGTTTCAAAGTGTGCCTAACTGCATTTACAGGCATTAACTCCACCGTGAAGGTGGGTAGAGAAGAGTTAGTCATTTCAGACTGGATTATCTTCTCTACGTGCATAATAAACCTCCTGTGAAAAGGTGTGAAAGAAGTGAATTTAAAGGACTCCATCATTTCTGATTGAATTAGAGGTCTTGAAGCAATCATTGCTCGTTCGTCTTTCTCAATAGCTCTTACTCAAATCTCTTAAACAGTGCTGGGGCAAGCAGTACGGCCACAAGAATCTGAAGCTTTTCCTGGTCTTTTCACCAAAGGGAATATTTGAAAGATGTAGACAAATTCCATGGATTTTCCCTTCCCTTTCCCTTTACGGCCTACAAGTACTTGAGAAGGGATGGTGGGGAGGTGGGGGAAGGGCTCTTTACATTAGTGATGGGTGATAGGACAAGAGGAAATGGGTATAAGCTTAGTCAGGGGAGGTTCAGGTTGGATGTTAGAAAGAATTTCTTCTCTGAAAGGGCTGTCAGCCACTGGAATAGGCTGCCCAGGGAGGTGGTTGAGTCCCCATCCCTGGATGTGTTTAAGAAAAGGGTGGATGATCTACTTAGCGATATGGTTTAATGGGGATTAGGGATGGTTGGACTCGATGATCTCTAAGGTCTTTTCCAACCTAGAAATCTATGAAATCTATGCAAGTCCTGTCCACTGTTTTCCCCATGCCTTGCATCTGTGTGCAGAATTATGCATGTGTGTTTGTTCCCAGGACAGTCAACATGGCTTCACTAAGGGCAAATCCTGCCTGACTAATTTGATGACCTTCTATGATGAGGTTACAGCATTGATGGATAGGGGAAAAGCAACTGATATTGTCTACCTGGACTTGTCCAAAGCATTTGATACTGTCCCACACGACATCCTTGTCTCTAAACTGGAGAGACATAGATTTGATGAATGGACCACTCGGTGGATAAGGAATTGGCTGGATGGTCGCACTCAAAGAGTTGTGGTCAACGGTTCAATGTCCAAGTGGAGACCAGTAATGAGTGGTGTTCCCCAGGGGTCAGTACTGGGACCAGTGCTATTTAACATCTTTGTTGGTGACATGGACAGTGGGATCAAGTGCACCCTCAGCAAGTTTGCAGATGACACCAAGCGGTGTGGTGTGGTGGACATGCAGGAGGGAAGGGATGCCATCCAGAGGGACCTGGACAGGCTGGAGAAGTGGGCCTGTGAGAACCTCATGAAGTTCAACAAGGCCAAGTGCAAGGTCCTGCATGTGGGTCAGGGCAATCCCAAGCACAAGTACAGGCTGGGCGGAGAATGGATTGAGAGCAGCCCTGAGGAAAAGGATTTAGGAGTGCTGGTGGATGAGAAGCTCAACATGAGCCGGCAATGTGCGCTGGCAGCCCAGAAAGCCAACCATATCCTGGGCTGCATCCAGAGCAGCGTGGGCAGCAGGTCAAGGGAGGGGATTCTGCCCCTCTACTCTGCTCTTGTGAGACCTCACCTGGAATACTGTGTTCAGCTCTGGAGTCCTCAACACAAGAATGACATGGAGCTGCTGGAGCGAGTCCAGAGGAGGTCCACGAAGACGATCCGAGGGCTGGAGCACCTCTGCTATGGAGACAGGCTGAGAGAGTTGGGGCTGTTCAGCCTGGAGAAGAGAAGGCTCCAGGGTGATCTTATAGCAGCCTTCCAGTACTTAAAGGGGGCCTACAGGAAAGCTGGAGAGGGACTTTTTGCAAGGGCATGTAGTGATAGGACAAGGGGCAATGGCTTTAAACTGAAAGAGGGGAGATTTAGATAAGATCTAAGGAAGAAATTCTTCCCTCTGAGGGTGGTGAGGCACTGGAACAGGTTGCCCAGTGAGGTGTTAGATGCCCCATCCCTGGAAGTGTTCAAGGCCAGGTTGGATGAGGCTGTGGGCAATCTGGTGTAGTGGAAGGTTTCCCTGCCATTGGAAGAGGATTGGAACTAGATGATCTTTGAGGTCCCTTCCAACCCAAACCATTCTATGATTCTATGATTCTATGATTCTATGTGTGAGGGCAATTATATCCCCCTGCTTCCATTGTCCAAATATTTTAGGGAGGTATTTCAAAATATCAGTTAGCTTTATCTTTCAGACAGGCCCACAAGTGCCATGTGTGATTCATGTTGTACACCCTGCAGCCTAGTTCCATCTTCCTATTCTTTGCTTATGGACAGGCAAACTCTTAATGAACTGGTAGAGGTATTTTGCTCTTGCTCTTTCATTGACAACAGAGAGAAGATGGAATGAATTCCATTTCAATAAATCACTTCCAGTCTTCTGGGTGTGGGTTTTTTGTTGATTTGTTTTGTTGTTGTTTTTTTTTCTTTATGCTGTTTGCACTTTGAATAGACAATAATAAGGATATTTCACCAGAAGTTTTCCTTCTCTGTTTCTGAGGAAGCAATGGGAGTTGTAATTAGCAGTAGTGGGAACTGACTCTAAGTGATAGA